CACGCAGCAAAGACTCATCAGGTAGAAAAAAGTCCTAATGAAAACAATAGATTCAATGCATATGAACTGCAAAAATTATGGGAAGAGGTTGCTAAAGACTCAAATATAGACGAAAACAACAACAATTTACAAAACCAAAGTTTCATAATTATAATATCAATATTAATACAATAAATAAATAAATAGATAAATAAATATATATATGTCGGGTTTACATTAGAATCAGGGTTAGGGGCGTGAAACGGATCTTCGTTTGGATTACACGTGTCGCTATGCAATAGAGAAGACTTCGACTAATGCAAATACGATTATCATAGAACTGGACAAGTGACCGTGGTAATTAGATACTCGAGAAACTAATGGCAATGATTTTAGGTTCAATAACGAATCCGCGGTTGACGGGATGATAGATGAACGTGCTCACAAAATCTAAGTCGGACGCGTAATATTCACGGGTCGTAAGAGGTTACTCTTTTCGTCGATGAGATCGCGAGAGAGAATGCCTTTCCCTTTCCGATGATGCCGCAGAGGAAAACTATTACGGGGTGTGTCTAAGGACGCGAGATCATCGGATTCGTCGAGAAAAGCCTTCGTTCGGAAAGTAAGGGAAATTGGCGTTGCTGCTAATTGGTCAGTCTCCATATCGGTGGTTAGAAAAAGATGCTAGTTGTCCTCGAGGGAAAGTTGCTAGTGGGAGACGCCGTTCGTTGAATAATAGGTCTCTCCTATTTTCCAGTAGCTGGGACAAAGACTGTTTGTTTGAAGGACTTTAGTCAACTAAATCCTAAGATTTATGACGGGCCCTCAGGCTAGCTGAACATGTACTGCGGAGACGCATCGACATCTGGCAATCATCTTGCTCGAAGAATAGGGTCTGCGAATAGAAGAATAGGGTGTGGTGAGCCACGGGACAGAAACCGTTTGGAATGTTTACTGTCGCGTGTCGCCACGAATATGTCTTTTAAGGAGAGCTATAGAATTACTCCATACCTTTGTTAGACAAAGCGTTCATCCCGTGACCGCGGCTACGTTCGGCGACTGGCTGTCGCCTCGAGCCCAAGCTCATTGTCACAACTCATGAACAATTACAATCGGATTGAATAACTACAATTGTTTAATTACAGCTATAGTAGACTCTAGATTACAATGTTGCGGGATTATCCAAAATTCCAAAGGCTCCGGTGTTCTTTCATCTCCGACATATATGTAGTATCGTTGAGCTGTGCTTAGCTCTGTAGAGGTCACTGCTGGGTACGACCGCTCTTTTCCTCATTTTTTGTACCGTGGAAGAAACCCGGTCGCCGGGATTCGAACCCGGGTCCCGAACACGTTCGTAACCTAAGGCGCTAACCACTGCTCTACCATTGTCCGACGCTAATTAGTGTCGAGTGGTGGTATTTGCTATCGAGTGCCATCACAAGCCCTTCTTTCCACGATACTACATATATATATATATATAATATATAATACGATACTATATATATATATATAATAATATATATATATAATATATATAATTAATAAATTAAATATATATTAATAAATTATATATATATAATATAATTAATATATATAACTAATATATATAATATATATAATATATATACTTACATATATATATATAATTGTGTTATATATATATATAAGTATATATATAATATATATAAATATAATCACACAAATAATATACTACGGACATCCATCTAACTAGCAACGCAAGATAACAACATAACCATAACAAACATCATTATTACAGAGAACACAACCCATAATTACATAGCAAACTAGAGACAATGAAATACTAAGTAACATAATTAAATGGGTAGGGATAGGTCCCTCTAATTACCAAAAGTAACATATGCATAATAAAACCACATAAATTATCGTAACAACACTTAATGACAACAATTACTGATCCATGCGGTTATCACAACAACTATGATACGGAACAAACAAAAAATATTATAACAGTGTAAATAAAGAGGAAACAAAAGTAAAACCAAATAGAAAGACTTGACAAGTAGGAAAGCTACAAAGAATTAAATGAAAGGAAGACACAAAACATATAATTTTATAGATATGAAAAACATTTCTACCAAAATCTTGACAATATGAAAATAAAGAGACACTTGATCAATAGTCAAACAGAATATAATTCCACTAACAATATTATCTGATCAATTTTCAATTTTTGTTAATATAAGAATTTACATAAAGTAGATGAATAAAAGAAATAATAATGAGTGTACAACTTTAAATTAAATTTTGAAGCCGGCTATTTGATCGAGCCTGGTAAGGTTAGTGTTAAAAATGATTAAAACTGCCTTGCAAGAATAGTATCATTTCGATAACGAAAACTTAAAAGAGCTATTTAAAACGATAAACACAATTTTCCATTTAGTTGTATATTAATTTATATTATTACACATACCTTCATAAAATAATACCTTAATTAATCCTTCGAGTAATAAGGTTAAGCAATTTTTTTCTAATTTCTTTGGTTTTTTCATTATTTATTATAATATAATATAATATGTAGTGATCAGTAATTTGCGTGGAAATTGCTTGTGATTCATGCAAGACCACATTCAATGGTACTTCAAGAATACTGAATGTGTATATAATTCTTCTGTGGAATTTACAGACAGGAAAATCGTGATACGTGTGTAATCTTCGAATAAACATTATTTACATGTGCTTTTGTTTATTAACTACTTTTCACTACTTTTCACTACTCAAAATTTTCATGGGACGGTTGCCAATATATCGCAATGGATTTCAATGCGTAAGTGTGTTTAATATTTAATCTATGATTTTTTTTACAAAACGTTGTGCAGGATGCGTTTCTGAATGTCATAGTCATGCTTCTCTACGATTGGTACTTGTTAAGCTGCTGCCCATGTGTCATTCGATTTGAGGATCATTGTGTACCTCGCTGCTCGAGCTGATCTACTTCCGTTCGTGTAAGAAGGTTTGCTTATGCACAGGCATATTTCGTTCGAGTTTTAATTATTGATAAATAAAAAACCGGAAACGTAATTTTTTTCTTCTTAATTTTTGTTTTATATTAATTTTAATGAATCACCCCTTAAATCTTTTTACACCTGTAGCAGGACACCTTGTATAATTCGGATTGGAACAAAACAGGAATGTAAATTATACCCAGATTAAAAAACAACTCAAAAGAGAATATAAATATAGACCCATACAAATGCTAAAATCAGAAAGCCTTTGCATTATATTAACAACCTTAACATACCCAGCAACGCATTTTCTTAACGATATTATGAAAGATAGCCCTATTAGCGCTATTTAGCCTTATCTTAATTTATGACTAGGGCGAGAACTTAGTAAGGATCTCCGTAGGGTGCTTGAGTTTGAAAGGTCGATAGCCGGTATATCGAAGTTTTAACCAGAAAAAACTTACAAAACACTGCAAACCGCATCCGAATTTATGCATAGCAGAATAACATTGGACCGAAAAGAAGGAGAGATAGGATATTAGACATATGAATACATATTATATATACACACCACTCGACTTAAGACGAGAAAAGTCAGAAAATACCTACATACTCACTATGAAATAGAAAAAAGATAAATGGGAAAAGGAAGCAATACACGATAAGCTCTACATCATGCAAGACAAAACGTAGATAAACAATTCTCCTGCAAATGGTTCATAATATTCGTCATAGCAACAGAAGACAGTGTCCTAGTCACAAAAAATTACAAAAAATGTATAATATAATTAAAGAAATCATAGTCATATACACGTGCATTTTTCCAGTAGAACAAGCAGACGCAATACGGCGGTAAAGATCGTACATGAAGAACTTGCAATATAATATCAATTAACACACACGCATACTATGCTATAAAAGGCATTTAAAAGTGTCAAAGATGACAGACTTATGCATATCTCTAGGCTAATTTCTTTCATTAACAAGACGCATAGCTGCGCCATAATGCTCAACGCAAGCGAGTGACTTTTTTCACCCGTTTTCGCAGTAGCATGTACTATTATTGAATAGTGAACAATGCACACGTAGTAACAAAATAACGCTCGTCGTCAGCAGATAATACGATAATTGTATGTCCACAATTATACTCCGCAACTATACTCCGCAACTATACTCCGCAACTATATTTAACGTAGAAAAGAATATAATTTTGCGGAAACGCTAAGTATAAAAAATCGATATTATTGCGTAAGAAAAAAGCACAAAAAATTAAGATTAACGGAAATAAACTGATTATTTTATAAATTATATAGAAAAATGATAGAATATAACCTGACAAGAAAATTTTATCTAAAAAAAAAAATTATTTGTTTCTAGCTTTCATAATCTAATGTAAATCTAATCCTCATTCTACGTATTCGCATAATTCAAACAAAATATTTTATAATTTCATTCACAAAACATAATATAAATATAATCAAATTTTGGGATACATTTTTAGTGTTGTGTCTTAAGAAATAAATAGAGGGCGGATGTTATGTGTTGCGTTATATCCTCTTAAAAAAATCTGTTGATTTATGTTTTCTATAAAAATAACTTCGGTCCTTTTACAGCCAACAAACTTATTCAATCTTTTTTATCCGAACAATTTTTTAGTGCTTGAAAGAGATACAAATCTTTGATATGGAATGCGGACATCCCATTTTATTTCTAATATTATTCTTTTTTTTATTTCACTATTAATATACGTCATCTTGCGTTATTACTAAAATAAAGTTGTTATATTTCATCTAAACTTTTACGACAAATAATAATATGCTAATTTCTTAACATGTAAAATAGTAAGAAAACAGCTCCTACAACTAGTCCTTTTGTATTGAACATATTAACTATACAGTAAAATTTATTTACTAAAATTAAAAACATTTAGTTACAGTAAAATGCAATGCAATGTTATGGAGAATTAGTTCTGTATTTCCTTCAACTAATTGGGTTAAAATGTAGAAATTTGGGAAAATCTAATATAATTAATTTAAGATATTTAAGGATTTGATGCAACTACATCATTTTTTCTTTCATTTTCATAGGCCAGCAGATATACCAGAAATTCTTTGGTTTGAAGAAGAAAATGAATTAATTCGTAGTTGTGGAGTACTTTCTTCGGCACTTGGACTTCGCAAAAGTTTTAGCACGAGCGACGTATCTCAACTGCCAAGTCCAGATATATTGGGGCCGAATGGGTTGCGATCAGCTGTATCTACTTTGGCCCTTAACACTGCCCAAAGAAATACTTTGCTTTTGGAACATGCACGACTTGATCATGCTTCGAGATCCTGCAGCACATGGGTTGCTGTTGGTGAACCAGTCGCTAATACATCGCAACTTCCTAGTCCTCATGGCGGAGCTATGCAAGAACAACAATGTCAGCAACAAACATCCAGTTCTCAATCAGCTCAACAACCTTCTACTGCATCACATCCATCCATACCTTTCACAGGAGCTGATTTTGTTAGGTCTGTGAATAAGAAGGTTCGCCAAAATTATATACGTCGAAGGTTGGTTTAAGAATTATTAATTATTATTCAATTTTATATTTTCTTCGTAAATATGCAGAATAAAAAAAGATAATATTGCTTATGAAACTGATTTGGCCTCTGGATAAATAGAGATCGGTCACAAAATAGATCACAAAATAGATTTTGACCTTGATACTCAAGGTATTTGTTTATTGTTCTGTATCCTACTTATTACAAGATTAAATCTCAGTTAGTTTCTCAGTTATTTTTAATTCTTGTTTTAGTTTAATATATTACATTCCTATCTTAGTTATTTCTAAATCATATCTTAATTAAATCTCAGCATATAGTACTGGAATTATATAGTGCAACTTAACCATTCTCTTGAAAGTTATATTAAAGTGTCATTAGCTGTTAGACTAAGTAGATACATAAGTAATTTTATCATTTCATTCTTCACCAACATACTTTGGTAATGGTATCAATTATGGAATTGATGCCATCTATTAGTATGGTATGTAAAAATTCACTTTGTGTTATTGATAAAATATATGCAAATTCAATAAAAAATAATGGAAAAGTAATGGAAGAATGGAATAATGGAAGACAATAAGTTTCAATCGATTAAAAATTTTGGAACTAGTCAAGAAAAATGTGATGGACTATAACAGTTAGTGCAGTTATGTTGTAAACATAGAGATTGTAACTGATTTTAACTTGTCAGTCTGTGCAGGTAAATAAACAAGGTCAATATTATTGTCAATGATCCCTACTCACAAATTTACAATTTCTGAATCGTGGGGGGAGGATTGAAAATTCTATTTGCCCAAATTAGCATTCTTTTGACTTAAATGGTTGCTATTGGAAAAGCCACTTTTATAAATGAATATAGCGATAAGCTGTATTATACAAAGCCATCATTAATGGATATGCACGTACGACAACGAAACGTTTGATGTTCAGCAGGAGACTGTGCTAAAAGTTTTTGACTGAAGTACTGATCGAGTCGCTAAAAATTATAATAACTTGAAATTTTTTCTAGGCATAATACTGTTCCGTTATTCATTAATTTTCTGTTGTTTCAATAATGGCACGAAGCAGTACGAGAACATTTCTATGTCAACTATAATCTGATCGGATCATATTAAATTTAATTTACTTTACTCTCCAAATATGAATAATAGGTTGATTAACCACTATTATATTTTATTATGGTATTATACATTCTTCACAGTAAATATCCAAATGGTTGTCTTTATTTACGTCATATGTGACATTGAAATGTAAACACAATAGAACCTCCATTAAACCGTTTCATGAAGAACCAAAACGCATTAGATAATCGAGACTTAAGTTATACGCGCACTAGCTACAATATGTCCGACAACAGTTTTGTAGTTTACGAAAAGAGTATTCATCTTGCGCGCATTTGCCGATGCGACTACAACTTGCCTTTTTCAAACCTTCTTGTTACTAGAAAAGAAAAAATTGAACTTTTGATTGATGTGAGCAAGAGTGAAAAAATTCGCGCGCAACAAATTGTCGCTAGTGCGTGTATAGCCTTAGAAAGAAAAATTAAAAATTTATATGCACGATAGGCATGTTATTTCATAAGAAATGCAGTTGCTTGTTTGTATATATACATAATATCTAACATATCACAATACATAACATACACATCTATTTATTATTCATATACATAGATAATTGTATCTACAGGTGTCTCATTTTAATCAATCCACACAATTATTTCTTAAAATATTCATTATTCGGAAAAAATGTTTAAAATTTACTTTATTTCAATGGGGACATCTTGTGATGATGACAAATCTTATTTAAATGGATGTGTTCCGAAATATCAAGGTGATCTTTGTTTTTTCTTAAATGGAATTATACATTCCTTTATACACCATTCAATGTATATTTTAATTCTGTTCAAAAAGTTATTAAGATACTTGGGTCAAAAAATGTTTAGTTTAAAAGACATTTTAGCTTTAATGTTGTAAAACTTATCATATAAATGATAAGAAACGAAAACGCAATACTTTTTTGTTTGTGTTTTCCTTATCTTACATATGATAATTTCTGCAACATTAAAGTTAAAATATCTTTTAAACTAATCATTATTCGATCCAAGAACTTTAATACTTTTTGCAGAATTAGAATGAGAATCAAATGACGCATAAAAAAACATATAGTGGCATTTTAAAAAATAAAGGTTATCTTAAATTTACAAGAACGCGTCCTCCTAGATAAGATTTACCCATCACAAAATGTCTCTGTCCAAACCAAGTAGATTTTATTTGGACCATTTTTTTCGAATATTGAATATTTTAAAAGATAATTGAGTGGGTAAACCACAATGAGATACTCTGTATATGGAAGCACCTTCTTCACGTCTAATTTTTAATGGTTTTCATTTAGCTTATTTTTCTGTTTATCTGTTTGTCTGTTTGGAATTTTGTTTTTTTCTTGTTTTTATTTGGTAAACTATTTACAATCAGTTCTCGTTGAAAATTTTAAATAACTCCATTTGGCATGGTTCAATAACTTGGTTTATAATAATTTATATTATGTTGATTCTAGTTGAATCTAATGCTTCCATTTAAAGGGTATTTTCTTCTTAGACTGCGGATCTAGTCCGTCGTGTCAAGTAGGTGGGTGATTGATGGGTTGTGGTGGTTGTTGACTCTTGTGTTATATCTGCTTCTGAACTTGTATATTTCTTCTTTGACTGTGGATATCATGAGGTCGCGGTGGATTGTTTCGTTGGAGACATATCAAGGTGCATCTATTAAGGATCTTAGTGTTTTTGATTGAAATCGTTGTAGGATTTCTATGTTGGAGTTACTCACTGTTCCCCGTAGTTGGATCCCATATGTCCAAACAGGTTTTAGTATGGCTTTATATAGCATTATTTTGCTCTGAGTGCTTAAGTTGGAGCGACGGCCAATGAGCTAGTAAGATTTTTTAAGTTTAGCCTTAAGTTGCTTCGATTTGTCTATGATGTGTTATTTCCATGTCAATCTCCTGTCCAGAATCATGCCCAGATATCTGACTGAACCCTTGTTAGGAATTGTGATATTGTTAATGGTCACCTGAGGGCAGGTTTGTTTTCGCAAAGTGAAGGTTACGTGTGTGGATTTGTTTTCGTTAATTTTGAACCCCCATTTGTGGAACCACTTTTCCATAGAGTCAAGACCTCGCTGAAGAGTGTGGGATACCATTATTGGGTCTGAGTGGGATGCTAGTAGTGCTGTGTTGTCAGCAAATGTCGCTGTTGTCATCTCTGCTAAGCTTGGTAAATCGGCAGTGTAGATCGAGAACAGTGGGAGTCCAAGTACACTGCCTTGTGGTATGCCGGCTTCTATTGGAAATGTTGCGGTTGTGGCGTCTAAGTATTTGACCATGAATTGTCTATTGGTTAGGTAAGATTTTAGGATGGAGTAATATGCGTGTCGTAAAATTTTCTTCAGTTTGAAGAAAAGTCCTTCATGCCACACTTTGTCGAATGCCTGTTGAATGTCTAGGAATACTGCTGAGCAGTATTTTTTCTTTTCTCGGTTTTGGCTTATATTGTGTGTTAAACGATGAATTTGTTCCATCGTGGAATGTTGCTTCCGCAAACCGAATTGGCGATCCGGCAGTGTTTTTAATTCCTCTAAGAGTGGAAGGAGTCGATTCGTAAGCATCTTTTCGAATAGTTTTGACAAAGTGGGTAGAAGGCTAATTGTGCGATAGGAACTAGTTTCGTGTATTGGTTTTCCGGGTTTAGGGATGAGAGTTATCATTGATATTTTCCAGGGCTTCGGATAATATTCAAGGCGAAAGATTGCATTGAAAATTGATGTGATGAGTGAAATCCGTTTTATGGGAAGTTCCTTAACTGCTTTATTACTTATTTGGTCATGCCCCGATGCTTTCCTGGGATTTAGGCGACGGATTAATTCTGTAACCTCTAGAGAAGTGAAAGGTTTAATAAGAGGAGACATTTGGAAGGGAGAGTGCAGGTATTCCGTTATTTTCGGGGCAATATTGGAGGAATGAGTTTTAAATGCGTTGGATAGGTGTTTAGCGAACAGGTTGGCTTTTTCTTTAGGGCTCCGCGCCCATCCTCCTTGCGGACAGCGAATTGGAGGAATTATTTCCGGGGGTCGCGTGAGTTTCCTGGAAGGCTTTCATAGTGAGTAGTTGGAGTCAGCTGTAGGGGACAAATTGGCGAGATATTTTTGAAAACAGTCATTTTTATATTTTTTGATGATTTTGGTTAACTTCCTAGTTGCATTATTTAGTTTGCGTTTGTCATCCGGTGTTCTGTGTGTCTACCATTCTCTTCTTAGTCTACGTTTTTCTGCGATTTTGTTAAATATGTAATGGAGATATTCATGTTTGCTGATAGAAGTCTTAGTAGGTGTGGAGGAGCGGATAGCGTTTATTATGCTCATGTTTAAGTATTCCGTAGCTGCTTCGATATCTTCATTAGTTTTTAGTGAAGTTAAGGCTGAAGTTGAGTGATTAAAGACTTCTCAAAGGAGCTGCCAGTTGGTGAGTTGGTTATGAATAAAGCCATTAGGTGTATTCTCGATAATTGTTGATTTGATTGTTGCTATCACGGGGGAATGATCAGAAGAGAGATCAGCCGAGGAGTTGATTTGGACGTATCTTGGCGAAATATTTTTAGTTATGAAGAAGTCAAGTAGGTCAGGTATTTTATTAGTGTCAGTGGGCCAGTGTGTGGGTTCGTATGTGGTGAGGTAGTTGAGATTGTTGGTTATTATGCTGTTTAAGAGATTTTTACCTTTTACTGTGACCAGTCTGCTGCCCCATTGGGTATGTCTGGCATTACAGTCTCCTTCAGCAATAAATCTATTGCGCAGAGCGTCAAGGAGGTTATCAAAGTCTTCTTTGGCGATAGAGTGTCTGGGAGGGCAGTATACTGCTGAAGTGGTAATTGTACCGTGGCAGTGTACGTTTGTTGCTTGGAGGTAGTCTTTCTGGAATGATGGAAGTTCGTAGTGCTTAATGCTGGATTTGATTATGATTCCGGTGCCACCGTGGGCCTTTCCGCTGGAATGTTGGGTATGTTTGAAGTTATAACCGTTTATTTTCAGATAGTTTTTGTCGGTGAAGTGAGTTTCCGACACGAGCATTACGTCGATTTGCTGTTGTTTTAAGAAGAGTTCTAGTTCGAATTTGTGTTGAGCTAGACCGTTGGCATTCCGAAGAGCTATGTGTCTTGGTTTTATTTTGCGTCTGGGCGTATTAATTTATCTATGATGAGTGTTAATTGTTGAGATATGTATAATTTTTAGTTCTGGACTAGGTTAAATGCGTAGTAGAGATACTTGTATGTGAATATCAATGTGTGGAAGTATGTGTGTCCGAAGCGTCTCGAAAACAAATGAATGTAAACTCTTCAGTCGGTTAAGGTCCGTCGAAGAGTCGGTTAAGGTCCGTCGAAGAGTCGGTTAAGAGTCGTCGAAGAGTCGGTTTACAGTCGGGTATAGAAGAAAATGCTGAGACGCGTGCAAGTGTGTATCGATGAATATATAAGGAATCGTCCATGAAATAAATAAATCATTGTTTTAATATTAATCCTCAGTATAAATTTAGTGTTCCTATAACATTATTTCGGCCTCAAAGATCCACAATTCTCAACATTAATAATAATAGTAAGTTATTTATTTTGTCCTGAGTCTAGAGAAGTTGTCCGTGTCTTGTGGATTGGGAACACTATTTTGAGAATGGTCAGTATGAGTTTTCGGATTATTTTGATTTCCTTGTACTGCTTGGGCATAGGAGAT